CTTGCTGAGCCGCTGCTCGGCGTCTCTGAAATTCTCGTTGTAGAACCTCCGGGCGGCTTTCGAGTACTTGGGCTCGGCCGTGGGCACGCGCTTCTCTGCGCCCTCCTTCTTCTTCTTGGCACTCTTACTCTTGGTCTCGATGGCCTGGAGGAAACGCGCGGGAGGGTGCGACTGGAGCTTGAGGTTGCCGTCCTCGCCGCGGACGATCCAGGGGATGATGAGCTGCCCGGCTAGGGCATCCGGGTCGAGCTCGGCGGAGTCGGGTTTGGGCTTGGGCTTCGGTGGTGCGAATGTGATGTTGAACTCCTGAGAAGAGGAGGAAGTGGCGAGGGAGCAGGTGAGGCGGGGGAGTGTGCGGATGGGGATGAGAGAGAGGGAGGGCTTGGAAAGGAGGGAGGAGGAGAGAGAAGCTAGCGCTGCTGCTACTCCTGCCACCGAAGCCATTTTTGGTTGCCGGGTTTTTTTGGTTGAGGATTTTTGCGCAGTGGATATATTTTTTGTTTTTTATTTATTTTTGAAACGAATTATAATTGGGCTATCTTTGGTCAAATTATTGGGCTCGGTCCAAAAATTAAAGAGGAAAAGTAATCGGGTGGGCTCGACCCAAGCGCAAGAGATGGAGAGATTTTTATTTTTTTTATTCTAGTATTTAGAATTGTTATAAATAGAAAAGTTAAAAAGATAACCTTTATTATGGACAGGAGAAAAGCGAGTGCTAGATATCATACTGTTTAGTTTTGTAACTATAACACAAAGATTTTAGGAAAAAGAGGAAGGGAAGGATACTAATATTATTGTTGTTTACTTTTTTTCTTTGTTGTGTCTTGTAATCACACACATAGTGCTCTTTATATAGAGCCACATCCGTGACAAACCGAAAAAGTGAAGTGATTGCTCATTTTGAAAACTTTACATAATAACAATCACACTATTGTTGCCTTTTTGAAATCTTCACATAATAACAAACTACTGTGGCATTTTTTGAAATCTTCACATAATAACAAATACACTACTATGGGCATTCATTCTCATAATTTTATAGCACTCCCCCTTGGATGCCCACATATCAACATTAGTTGTCGCGTTAAAACCTTGCTCAGAAAAACCCAGTGGGAAAAAACCGTAGCAAAGGAAAAAGAGTACAACTTTGCTTGGATTGTTGATACAGCGTTAAGTATGCTTATGTTGCCTCGTTAAAACCTTGATAGGAAAAACCCAATGGGAAAAATCTCATTCGAAGGAAAAAGAGTAGAACATGCATGTATCATGGATGCTCCCCCTAATATGTATCTCTCACTAATTCCACATTCTTCAAGTTTAATTGATTGGTAAGTTGACATAATCCGATATCATGCACTAGCTTCTGAAATGTGCATTTTGGTAGAAATTTGGTGAATAGGTCTGCCAAATTTTCATTGGAACGGATTTGTCTAACTTCAATAACTTTAGCTTTCTGAAGCTCATGTGCATTGAAAAACTTTGGAGATATGTGTTTAGCCTTATTGCTCTTGATGAATCCTTCCTTCATTTAGGCAACATAGGCTACAATATCTTCATGAATCACAATTGGAGCGTCTGTCCTTGAAGGTAGACCACATGAATTCCAGATATGATGGATCATTAATCTTAACCAAGAACATTTACGACTTGCTTCATATAAAACAAGTATTTCTGAGTGATTGGAAGATGTAGCAACTATTGTTTACTTTGTTGAGCGCCATGAGATTGTTGTATCTCCATTAGTGAACACATTCCAGTTTGTGAGCGAGTTTTATGCAGATCAGAGAGAAAACCAACATCTGCATATCCAATAAGGATATGGTCATTTGTGGATTTCTCTGAGTGGAAAATACCTATGTCTGTTGTCCCACGAAGGTATCGTAAAACATCTTTAACTCGCTTCTAGTGACGAATTGTTGGAACAGAGTTATACCTTGCTAACAAGTTGACTGAAAAGCTATATTTGGTTTAGTACATTGTGCTAAATACAATAAAGCACCTATTGCACTCAGATATGGTACTGTTAGACTAAGGATCATTTCATCATCTTCTTTTGGACGACATAGATCTTTCTTAATGTCCAGAGAATGAACAATCATTGGCGTGGTAAGTGGATAAGCCTTGTTTATGCCAAATCGCTTCATGATTTTTTCAATGTAAGTTGATTGATAGACCAAAATTCCATTAGCACAATGCTTGATCTGCAGATTAAGACAATATTTTATTTTTCCAAGGTTTTTCATTTCAAATTTGTCTTTCAGATATTCAGCAGTTTTATTGAGCTTTTCAGGGATTCCAACTAAGTTCATATCATCGACATATATTGCCACTATAGCAAATCCATAATTTGATTTCTTAATGAACACATAAGGGCAGATGACATTGTTGGTATATCCTTTTTTGATCAAATACTCACTGAGACGATTATACCACATTCGTCTAGATTGTTTCAGTCCATATAATGATCGCCTTAATTTGATAGAGAGCATACCTTGTGATTTGTTAGTCGTTTCAGGCAACTTAAGTTATTCTGGAACCTTCATATATATGTCAGTATCTAATTCTCCATATAGATACGTGGTGATGACATCCATAAGTTGCATGTGAAGTTTTTCTGAAACCACCAAACTTATTAAGTAACAGAATGTAATTGCGTCCATTATAGGAGAGTATGTCTCCCTATAATCATTTCCAAGTCTTTATGAAAAACCTTGTGAAACGAGTCATGCTTTATATCTTCAATCTCATTTTTCTCATTTCGCTTTCTTGTGAATACCCATTTGCAACCCATGGGATTTACACCAGGTAGGTTTTGAACTAAATGTCCAAAAACACTTCGCATTTATAAGGAATTTAATTCTGCCTGGATTGCATCTTTCCAGTTAGGCCAATCTTGTCTCTGTTTGCATTCATCGACATAGTGGGGCTCAATATCATTGCTTAATATGATTTCAGTGGCTACTGCGAATGCGAACATGTCGTCGATGATTATTTCATTTCGATCCCATAATTCATTAGTACATGCATAAATTATGGAGATTTCTTTGCTTTCATGTACTTCTGTCTCTTCAAGGACATGTGTCTCATCAAGAAAATTTTCTTTTTCAGAATCATGAATTGTGGATTTGTCATTCATTTTCTTTTCATGTATGATTTCATTTGGATTTAGTTGTGCCCTCATCTTCTCTTTTGAAGGGTTGAATCTTTTGAACCTGGGGGTCTACCATGATTTAGGCTTGCATCAGATGAATCATTTACTGCCACTTTATTTTGTCCCACAGGGACATCAATTCTTATAGGCGCATTTGTAGCTGGTATATGTGATTTTGTCACTTCGTAGCATTATTAAATGTATCTGGCATTTGATTGACAATACTTTGAAAATGAATGATCATTTTCACTTCATTTTCACATTGAGTGCTTTGTGGGTCAAAATGAGATAAGGTGGGTACAACCTATGTTAGCTCTTGTCGTTCTTCTGGAATGGTTTTTTCTTCCCTTAACGACGGGAAGACTGTCTCATCAAAGTGACAATCTGCAAAACGAGCTGTAAACATATTACCTGTCAAGGGTTCTAAATATCTAATGATAGATGGTGAATCAAAACCCATATAAATTCTCAGTCTACGCTGAGGTCCCATTTTAGTGCGTTGTGGCGGTATAATATACACATAAACAACACAACAAAAAACTCGTAAATGTGAAATGTTTGGTTGATGCCCAAACACGAGTTGTACTGGGGAGTATTGGTGGTTGACTATAGGTCTCAATCGAGCCAATGATGCAGCATGTAAGATGACATGTCCTTATGCAGAAACTGGCAATTTTATTTTTATGAGCAGAGTGCGGGCTATTAATTGAAGCCGCTTGATAAATACTTCTGTTAAACCATTTTGAGTATGAACATGAGGAACAAGGTGTTCAACATCAATACCTAGTGTCATGCAGTAATCATCAAAGGTTTGAGACGTAAATTCATCAGCGTTATCAAGTCGGATTTACTTAATAGGGTAATTTGTGAACTGTGCTCGCAAAGTCTCACAAAAGCAATATTTCGATTAGACAATAGGCAAATATGTGACCATCTAATAGATGCATCAACCAAAACAATAAAATATCAAAATGGTCCACAAGGTGGTTGAATAAGCCTACAAATATCCCCTTGAATTCTTTGAAAAAAAATGATGGGGATTCAGCATCAATCTTTAGTTGTGATGATCTAATTACCAACTTCCCTTGATAACAAGCCTTGCAAGGGTTATCATTTAATATAGCAACGTGTCTGCTCAATAATGGATGTCCATTAGAGTTGGTAATGATTTTACGCATCATAGTAGATCCTGGATGATCCAGACGATCATGCCAAAACATGTAAATTTTTGGATCAATGAACTTCTGGTTCATGACAATATGTGCTTCATTTGTCTTTATGTATGTATAGTACAATCCACTTGATAAACCATGCAACTTCTCCAATGTACGCTTCTGGGTATCATTAGAGGTAATGCATATATATTCCACATTTTTTCCACTTTTTGTTTCAATGTGATATTCATTTAAGCGTATGTCTTTAAAACTCAACAAATTTCGGGGTAGATTGAGTAGCTTACAACGCATTTCATATGGACAATATTGTTCCATTTGGTAACATGATTTGGGCATTTCCTGAACCTTTAATTATATCTGATTGGCCTGATATTGTTGTTACCTTTACTTTTGTATGCATCAAGCTTGAGAAATATTTTCGATTTCGAAGTATTGTATGTTTGGTTGCGCTATCTACAAGACAAATATCACCGTCATTGCTCTTGTTTTGAGAATAACCATAGTTTATATCCATGTTCTCTGAGTAAGGGAATTATAGTTAAAAACAATTTATTCATAATGAAATGCCATTTTTATTTAATTGAAATGTGAGCTTTACACTACAAATTCAGATAAGAGTACATCAAACAAAAATGACTCAATCGGACCGATACACTTTATTCTCTATTTCCACAATGAAATCTGAGACATCCAGGAAGGTTGTGTTCAATTGCCCTGATAAATCGAACAATGGATTATGTGTATTCATTGGTTTAACTTGGTCGAGAAAATTGGTTTCGACACCATTCTCCTTGAGAGAGGCTAGATACAGGTCCACCAGATGTTTTGGGGTACGACAGGTATGCACCTATTGCCCATTGCCACCATACCTATGGCAGGCTCTTTCAGGATTTCTAGGAGTGTTATTCATATGAGCTTTACCTTTGTGGTGATTTACATTTTTGAAGCTCGGGCTTAAATTATGCCTTGAACCCTGGTTGTGAAACTGGACACCATGATTCTTGCCTTTCTCATTCCACCGGCCCCGCCTGTGCCCACATCCTTGTTTGTAATTATTACCACAAGAGGATGTGGTATTCACTTCAAGGGAAACAACATTCACTTCTGGGAATGGCGTTGATCCAGTAGGTAGGGACTGATGATTTTTCATGAGGAGCTCATTGTTTTGTTCAACCACAAGGAGCACCGACATCAACTGGTTATACTCAGGTGATGGTCTCCCCATAAAACATCATCTAGGAGCTAATTCTGAACATTGCAGAGTTGTACTCAACAACCGTCTTGAAATCATGGATCCATAGGTGTGTTCATTCATAACAAGCCCTTGGAAGAATCACTGTTTTCTGGTTTTTGTATCTATTTTTCAATGCCTTCCATAGGGTTAATGGATCTTCAATTGTTAGGTACTCACTCTTCAGTCCTTCATCAAGGTGGCGACGGATAAAGATCATGGCCTTTGCTCGATCTTGAGAGGATGTATTGTTTTCCTCCTTGATGGTTTCTCCAAGATTCTTTGTCTCCAGATAGATCTTGGTATCCACTACCTAGGTAAGGTAGTTCTTCCCAGTAATATCCAGTGCAACAAAATAAAGTTTTGCCAAGTTCACCATTTTCTTTTTTGAAAGAAAAATGAGATGTGTAAGAACTTGCAATAATATGTATTATGAAGGAATGTAGTATTAGAACTTCTAGTTCTTACAAATTTTTCATTTTAATATTCATGCTAAAATGATAAGCACTCGAAACTTCAGGCTCGAGATTTACATGATTAATGATGAGGGCGATTGTACCACACCACTCTTATTGAAACAATATAGCATAAGGTGGGCGATTATACCGTACCACAAGCAGCAGGAAAATTTAAATATGCAAAGCAGGGTGGACGATTATACCGCACCACCTAAAATTACAGTACAATTAAATTTGCAGTTCAAGATGGCCGATTGTACTGCACCATCTTTGATCGTAGTAAAATTAACATAAATCAACACTTGGTTAGTAGTCAAGAGTTATACCAACACAAGAATAAAAATATATGAGTAATTGTTATATTGAGAATTAGGAGCAGGCACGGTGCTAGCAGATCTTGACGAGGGTACACCAAGCAGGTGAGGCAGAGGAGTAAGAACAATAAAATCCTTCGAGGAAGCATTTTTCGGCTAAGGAACTGGTTAAGGTTAGAGAGTCATGCTGATAATGTGTTATAAATAGAAAAAGTTAGAGAGATAATCTTTACTATTGATAGGAGAGAAGCTGGTGCTAGATATCACATTGTTTAGTTTCGTAACTATAACACAAAGATTGTAGGAAAAAGAGGAATGGAGAGATACTGATATTATTGTTTTTTATTTCTTTTTTTTGTTGTGTCTTGTAATCACACACGGAATGCTCTTTATGTAGAGCCACATCCGTGACAAAACCAAAAAGTGAAGTGATTGCTCTTTTTGAAAACTTTACATAATAACAATCACACTACTATGACCTTTTTGAAATCTTCACATAATAACAAACTACTGTGGTCTTTTTGAAATCTTCACATAAGAACAAATTTCATTCTCATAATTTTACAACAAGAACCTGTTTGAAACTGATTTTATAGTAAGCACTTTTACTTATAAGATTTCTTATTGAAATATGTTGTTATTTTGTAATAAAAAAGTACGTTGAAATGTTAATTACAATTTCAAGTCCTTAATGAAATAGAAGTGCTTTTTGAAAAAGCATCTAAGAGCTACTCCAAGAAACGCTTTTTCATGCGATATCAAATGCGTTTCAAGTCGCATAAAGGTTTGAAAGCCTTCAGAAGCAGATTGACTGCGCATTTAGAGATAGTTTGGAACATTTGTTGAAAGGGCATGTGTTTTTCTATTTTCGTTTTTGTTCCTAATATTCACATCTGGATTTTTGATGAACTATTTTTATAATCCATTGTATTGATCCTATGATGTTTATTTCACATTCTAGTAGTCAGCCCATCCAAAAAAATTGTTGGCCTACGAATGTGGTTTCGATCCTTTCGATGAGGCAGTAGTCATTTCGATTTACGATTTTATCTTGTTTCACTTTTATTTATTATCTTTGATCCAGAAGTACCCTTTTTCTTTTCTTGGGCAATACCTCTCAACAAGATTGATCTGTTTGGATCTTGGTCCATGATGGCCATTTTATTGATTTTGACAATCCGATCTCTGTGAATGAAAAAAAGGAGGTAGATTGTCTGTCCTCCGGTTTGGATGTCCTTCTCATCTTCTTCTATTTTGTGTGGTCATGGTTAAACCACGTTAACATTTTATATTGATTTTTTTTTAATAGAGATAATAAGACAAAATGCAATAAAAATATAAAATGTTGACGTGGTTTAACCGTGACTGCACAAATAGGAGGGGATGGGAAGGATACCCAAACAGGAGGGCAGACAATCAACCTCCTGAAAAAAAAAATTGGCGGTTCGGATCTTCCTCTTGGATTTTGTCAACCGCTTAAGTGAAGCCAAAACGAGAGGGTTTCTAAAAGGCTCCAATCCAGTGAAAATCCGCTTAAGCTAAAAACACTAGTTTTCTCCCAGCCAGTCAACAGCCAGTACATAAGATAACCCCGAAACGGGAGAAAACCCCCTTTCTACCTTTCTTTCTCGACTGCTGTTAAATAAATCTTTATTTGAGTTCCCAATGACTAGTGAAACTCTCCCCGAATGAATCATATCGCTAAAAGAGAAATCATGAACTAGAATAGAAGAGCTTGTCACACCAATAAGTAAATACATCGTAGTAGCCTCTTCAGAACTATCATCAACGATATTTATTTCGGTAGAGGCAAAATAGAGAAGTTGTTCAAAAATCACAAGCATCGAGTGTTAAATTTGTTTCACCAACTTTTGGACCCAGCAAATCAACAGTAACCCGTGACTCGGGTAAATTGATATGCATGGATGAAGTGTGGTTTTACACAGACACTACTCGTGAACAAGGAAAAGAAAAAGTTGGAGGGTTAGTCATCTTCAAAGTTCAAAATTCAAAATGTCTATGATATTAGAAGAGGTTTCAGATTCCCGACACTCAGCATTTTCACCTCCGCCCAAGCCTTCAGCAACCCATCCGAGGCCGGTAATTCAAGTGAGGTCAGAAATGGTGGGTGTAGGGGACGAGGAAATATCAACCGTAAATAGAAAATAGTGTCTTTGAAATTAGAGAAGCATTTGGCACTTCTTTCTTCAAGAGAGGGTTTTACAAGGCGAATATGAAAGAAACGCTGTATGTAACTTATGAGGCAAGATACAAGCAAAACTGCAAAGACAGATAATTAATTTATTGTAATGTAATTTCTTTTTCTAACATTACAATTTTAATTTTGGAAACCCGAAAATACAGCGATCAGAATCAACTGAAAAAATTTACGAGCAACACTGCACAGAGCGTGCTGAGAATCTCGTGACAGATTATTGTGACAGATGACTAATAGAAATCCCAAAAGGGAAACAGTTAATTTTCATTGATGTGTAACTATACCCTTATGCTGTGTGTGGCAGGCATACTCCTTCGCACCAGAATTAAGGCCGGAAAACTTGCCGCCATTCAATATACTAGTGAAAATTGAATGCATAAACCTACAGCGGAGACAAGCACCTGATCATAATTCTTTATACTTCCGACTGATTTGATAAAGTAATTTGTCGATCGGGAATATAGAAAGATTAATTGACAAACAAAACACAAAGGTACTTACTAAACGTGTTTCCCATCATGGAACTGAGCATTTTTTGAAGATTTGAAAGTTTCCAAAAATTCCTTGGCTTTCTCTAACTCGTACTTCTGCCTAGAATTGTCCCACTTGTGTTCAGTTGCTAAAATTTCAATCACACGTGGCAATGCCTTGCTTGCCGCATCAGTGTCGAGGAAAGCAAGCCGAGATCTCCTAGCAATGAAATCAATGGCAGATTCACAGTACTCATTTCGAGCACAGTAGGCAACCTCAGCCTCTAGAAAGGGGTATCCATGGGCAAGCCTCTTCCCCAGATTTTCGTTCTAAAATTTGAAAATATGAAGTTATAAGTGAGTATAAACTTCAAAGCATATGACTAATCCAAATAACAGAGAAACACAATGTACTAAATTGCACAACGAAACCTTCGATTATAATTTTTTTTACAGGGATTACGAGTTTACACATTAAACATAACATATCTAGACTTGTAAAATATGAATACATGAGTGTAAGTGTACCATTCTTCAACAATTATACTTATGAAGGAAGTTGAGGAATCAGCTACTAATATCGTAATTTAAGGACACCAGAAGCATATTGTTATTTACGAGAAATTCATATATTATAACAGATTACAAGTAATACAGTAACTTTTGGAGCAAGACAAAACCAACCTGAGCAATGGCAGCAACTCGTTCAGCAAAAGTACCATATGCATGGGACAGATGCTTTGCTGCAGCAGTGTCCATCACCGCAGGAACAACTTTACCATGGCTGTTCTTCATGCGCACATATTGTTGAGCTATAACTGTAAAAGATGCAGGGTCCCATCCGTCTCCACCGACAATCTGCAGCTTGGAGGTCAAACATCCATTTTCTGGGGTCAGATTTCCAGACTTTATTGCTGCATTAACCGCATCTTCTGCCATGCTGAAAATTTTCTAGTCAGCAAAATATAAGTTGCCTAGTTTCAAATGGAAAACCTTTAAACTATAAACTAAATCATCTCAGCTCAACCAAATAAACCTTACCCACGGTAAGTAGTCCACTTGCCGCCCGTGATTGTTACCAAACCAGGATAATCTTCACATACAACATGATCTCTGGAGATGCTCTCAGTGCTTTTCGCAGATGGATCCGTTGCCAATGGCCGAATACCACTCCACGCGGAGAGAACGTCCGTGCGGCGTACCTATATTTTCCCAGCAATGCTTTAGTACCAACAAGACAACTAAATAGAAAAAGAAAGAAGAAGACACCTAGATTGAGTTACAGCATTAAATGTCTTCCACTACTTTCCGCATTTGGACATCAATTATCAACCCGACTTAAAAATTCAACTAGTCAGAGAAATCCTTGAGGAGAAAGTGTTATACTGTGGGAAATAATAGACAATCAACTGACCAAGCTGCTCATGTTGATAATTAATATCCAAATACAGATCATAAGATCACACTGAATCTACACGCAAAATTCTAGCTGACTAAATAGAAAGGAAGTAATCATTGAAAGACCATATTTTTAATTTTATAACTGCTAATGTATATTTGACGTGTGATAAACATGGTGTTGGGTCATAAACTTGGATTAGCAATGCAGGAAAAGATGCCCCACAGGCACAGAGAATCACAGACCTTGACATTAAGGTAATCACAAATGGCATCCAATATGAACTGAATCTCATCCTCATGTGGTTCAGGAAGAAGAGTAATAGAAGTGTTGGAATCTGTGGTGCCAGCAATTGTTCGTCCCAACCATGGAAGCATGAAAACAACACGTCCATCCTTAGTTTTAGGAACAATCAAACCCATACCCTCAGGAGAGTAATAGTCAGGAAGTACGATATGTACACCGCTGCTTGGGCATATCATTGGTTTTGCATCTTGATCTGCCATCTTCCTTAAAGAGTCACAAAATGGACCAGCAGCATTCACGACGACTTTTGCGTATGTATCAAACTCTTTCCCTGGTAACTTAAGAAATTAAGTAAGAATCACAATGTTCAAAAAGGAAATTAATAAATCATCATTTTCACACTACATTAGTATATAAACCAGTTGTGGAAGTGTGCGCTCATTCTACCTGATAAGTTGTCTCGGATTCTTGCACCAATTGTCCGATTGCTAGCCTCATCCTTCAACAAAGCAACCACTTCTGCATGGTTAAGCACTGCTGCACCAGCTACGGCAGCAGTGCACACCAATCCAACATTAAGACGTGCGTCATTCATCTGCCCATCATAATACACCACGGTGCCCTTCAAGCTTTTATTGTTACCCTTCCTGGCAAGGGTGGGGAACAGCTCAACAGATTCTTGTGCCGAATAATATCTGGACACATGTAAGAGTCGTAGTCCTGCCACCAAATCGTACATTTTCAAGCCCATCCAGTAGTACACTACCTCAAACCAGTCAAAACACGGTGTCATGCATGGCAAAGCATGACAGAGGTGTGGTGCATTCTCAATAACCTGTTTACGCTCCTCAAGCGCATGGAATACCAACTTCAGCTGTCCATAGTCAAGATTAAACACGGCTTTCTCCAAGTACCGAACACCTAACATAATAAATTTTACATAAGCCGCCGGGATGGAATCAAAACTTAATTGGAAACCAAAATATTGAAAAAAAAAAAATTAAGATAATGATTACTGACTCCAAACGAAAAAATTCGAACATCATATCCTGTCATATCTTACAGTCAATTCAGTTAGTATTTAAAAATTATCATAGCAATATGAACCGGCCAAATCATGGATTCAAAATTGAAAGATAACAACGGTCTTTCGGATTATTCCGTCTCGATTTACTGTTAAGATCAATATAGACAAAGTTAAAAAGTTGGCGAAATTACAACAGCTCTGTAAATTAATCCACTCCTGTAGCTCAATTTCTCTTCAAGCACACAAATGCATTGACAGGAGGCCAAAACGACGAACGAAACAAAACAAAACGTCAACAGCAACATTAAGAACTGGAAATGACAAATTGAGAGGACAGGGAAATCCATGTAATGCAATTATGCAACACAATATATACAGAGAAGTATGAATTCTATATATATACGGATACGGATACGTGTACGATTGTACATATGCAGTACGCCTACCTCCATGAATTAGCTTGGTGGACCGCGACGACGTTCCAGAAGAGAAGTCCTCGCGCTCGACGAGGCCGACGCGGAGGCCTCTGGTGACGGCGTCAAGAGCGACGCCACTTCCGGTAGCGCCACCGCCGATGACGAGAATGTCGAGTGGGTTGGAAGCGCTCGCGCTAATAAGAGCGGCCTCCTGAGCCGCTCTAGACGGAACGACAGCGTTCGGGTCGCTGATCCTCTGGCGAACGGCGCCGAGGGAGGAGGGTCCATTGCCGCGGTCGCTGGCGGAGAAGGAAGGCTGGAGGAGAAAGGCGCCGCTCGCCGCGGTGGCGACGCAGGCGGCAGCTCCGAGCCGACGCAGGCGTGTGGCGGTGGCCATAAATTGAGAGAGAGAGAGAGAGAGAGAGAGTGGCGGGAGCGTGGGGTCGTCGAAAAAAGTTCTTTGCCTTGGGAATCGGTCGCCGTGTGGATGGAGTGTCCTATGCGTTGGTTGAGGAAAAGGATCCTCACGGGTTCTTTTTATGAGAACTAGAGATTTTGTAATCCTCATCGTTCATCATATATTGTGTAATCAGTTTTCGTTAAGTATTATTTATATTTAATTTTAAATTTTAAAATAATTTTTGATCGTATATTAATCACGTGATCTCTAAGATCTCCAAAAATAGAATTCGACAAATATCCTTTTCCGTTGGTTGAAACTTGATAGAGAGACACTTTCCTTCCTTTGCCATTTTTCTTATTTTTCCTTTTTTTAATAACAGCATGCCGCTTTGTAATGTATTTTTTAGGACTTTATCAACTCTCTTTTTTCTCAACTTGAAAAAAGGTAATTCTCGTTTTACTATTTCAATCATTGTGAAGTTCTAACTTTCATACATTTAAGGTTTTTTTTATCCTATTTTTATATCTAAAGCTTAAATTTTGTAACACTTTTATAGTTCTATTATTTTTTCTGTCAAGAGCACAATTAACTAATGACACGGCATACGGCTGAAGGATGAACACCGTGGATAGCACATGGACAACGACTGGACCTCGTATGACTTTTTTTAGCAAAAAATTTGAAAACTTTAGAAAACAAGGGCCTTTTTGATATCTTATTCAAATGATTTCATCATTTATCAAAACATTTATTAAAGACTTATCTTGAAAACAATTTTCTTTAAAACTCAAAAACTTGTTTGGTATTAAATTTAAAAATTTTAAATCTTAAAATTTAAATTGGACAAAAGAGATCCAAAGAGAATGAGTTGCAGAAGAGGGAGAAAGATGAGAGAGGAGAAAAAAAAAAGAGAGAATTAGAGGAGAAAGAAAGAAGAGAGGATTAAAGGAGATAGAGAGGAGGAGGAGAGAGAAAGAAGGAAGATGAGAGAATAAAGAGAGCCGATCGGAGAAGAGAAAGAAAAGGAGAAAGAAGGAAAAAAAAAAGAGAGAGAAAGGAGGAAAGAAAGAAGAGAGATACATTCGAAGTGAGAGGGGAAGAGAGACAAAAGAAGGGAGTGGGCTAAGTTCTCTAAAACCTCAGTTTTGATGTTTTTAGATAATAGGTCAATTTTTAAATTAGTTTTCAGAGATCAGAGTGGCTACTTTTGAGTTTCAAGGGTAAAGTAGGATCAAAATTGAGGAAAGTGATGGCTTTTGTGCTTTAGGGAGCAAATTGAGATTGAGATCAAGTTCCATATAGTATAGCTAAGAATAAGTCTATTTTTTATTTATAGTTGCATAAGCCTAATTTTCAAGCAGAGTAAGCTCATCAATTGTACCGAAGCAATCTCAGTCCGACCCAAGGCCCAGAATAACGAGTCCAGGCCCATTATAAAGTTGCTTCAAGTAAGTTTCATCGTCTTCATCTCCGAGCAGACGAGCCAGCTCTGCAACTGAAAAAAAAAAAAAAAAAAAAAAAAAAAAAAAAAAACAGTGAGACGTTTGGACTGCCATGGCTCAGATTCCCAACTTAGACAATGCTCCGATCAATCTCACATCCCTCAGGTACCAACTGATTACTTTTTCCATTTAATCTCCAATTAATTTTGTATTTTCTTCATATATATATATATATATGTATATATGATTATATTATATAATTCTTGTGTGGATATTATGGTATAACAGGGAACAGTCTCAGATGGAGCTCGTAAACATCCTCAAGAATGTGAGCTCCAATTCCTTATTTCAATTTATTTTCCGTTGAAATTTAAATTAAAAATGTCTTGAATTTTGATTTGTTTGATTGTTCTGGAATTTGTAGATTCGAGGAAAGAAGTGTTTGGTCATTGATCAGAAGCTCAGCGGCTCTCTCTCGTCGATCATCCAGACTTCGATCCTCAAAGTAATTCTATCACATTATTTCCATAGAAATTCATGTTTTTCTGCTGAATTTTGTGTAGTTTGTGATGTGATTTTTATGCTTGTTAAGCTAGAATTTAATGGGAAACTCGCATTCGAAATTTGATTTTCGATTCTTAATTTTTGGCAAAGCAGTTGTTACATTCAACTGAAATGAGTTGAGTATAATGCAGGAAGATTTTCTGGTGGAATTTAGATTGTAATTGTTGTTGTTTTAGTGGTGAATGCAAACAGGAACATGGAATTGAGTTGCGGCATCTTTCAGCTGATCCCATTCAAACCGACTGTTCCAAGCTGGTTTACCTTGTCCATTCAGAGCTTACGTTGATGACGTTAATTAGTTCGCATATGCATAATGATACGTCAAAAGGACTGCAGGGAGAATACTATGTTTATTTTGTCCCTCGCTGTGCAGTTGGGTGTGAGAAGGTGAGCGTGCCTTGGCTATTATGATTACTTTGTATAAGTGATGGTTTTCAATGGATCCATTGCCGGTACATTTGAAAATTGAATGATGATAAATTCCATTTTGGTTTTTCAGATCCTTGAAGAGGAAAAGGTCCATCACTTGTTGACTATAGGAGAGTATCCGTTATACATTGTTCCTTTGGACGAGGATGTTTTGTCATTTGAACTTGATCTTTCTTGCAAGGTACTGGAGAAATTTCTCATTTTTTATTTTTTGGATTTATTTTAATTATTTTTTAACATCAGATGTTTAAACTTATTCTGCACTATTTGATCTATATTTATTAACTTTCTTTTCTCTCTGCATGGTAGGAATGCCTAGTTGATGGTGATACGAGCTCTCTTTGGCATATTGCAAACGTGATTCACAAGCTTGAGGTTGTAGAAAATACGTGCACATTTTTGTTCAGTTTACTTTAGGTAGCTTTCTCTTTTTAATGGTATTTATGTGATTTATTTGATCATGCAAGAATGAATATATATGTATATATAAATACACACACACACACATACACGCACTTGTATAACATTGGAGCAAAATAATATTATGATTGTAGTGAGAAATTGTGCTTCTAGTTACTCTAGTTAATGTTCTTTCCCTGGGTGAAAATTGTGCCTTATTTATTGTTTTGTTTTGAAGTTTTCTTTTGGGGTGATACCAAATGTGAGGGCTAAAGGCAAAGGATCAGTGCGTGTGGCTGACATTCTACACAGTATGCAAGCTGAGGAACCGGTTAACTCACCTGATGTAATTTATGCATGACATTAAGCTCCTTCTCTTATGAATTAATTTAAAAAATATATATAAACTGCATATTAAAATGAACACTTAATAACCTTCCACTAATATCTTGCTTGTAACATCAGATGGTTGTGCCAGAGATAAATACTCTCATCCTTTTAGATAGGGAGGTATACTCTCTCTCTCTCTCTCATTCTCTAAAAGTTATTAGTTTGCCACACAACATGGCGTATTCTGGCCATTTCTTGTGGTACAAATTTGTTTGCAAGACATGCAGTATATAACTTTAAATTCATTAAGTATGCCATTTTGTTAAGTTTACTTAAAGTTTTATTTGGGAAAGGAATAAAAAATTGCATGGTAAAGTTATGAACCCTTCTTTATAATCATGGCATATACCATTCCTTATTCAGAAAGTTACAAACTCACGTCCAGCTACTGCATATTTTGCTGCAACTGTACCGTCAATTGTGGTTTTTGCTTACATCGATAATTCCTTGGATGTAGGTGGACTTGGTAACTCCCATGTGTTCTCAATTAACATATGAAGGGCTTCTTGATGAGGTAAGTCATTGTAAAAACTGGCGGAAGTATGTATTCAGTAGAAAATCAATCACATGGCATGATTATGATAAAAGCTGCATGGGTATGGTAGGTAACTAGGTATAGAAAGCGTATGTTAAAATTTTGAGTTGCTCATGAGGTTTTTTCATCTGGACTGTAGCATTCTGATTCAATTGGCATCCTAAGAACGTATGCAAGTTTTGCCAATAACTTTCTCATTTGTTTTTCATTAAATCAGTATATTATATCTACTCTGATTAATTATTTGCCTAATACCTTGATTTGTAAGTCAACTGAACCTAAGTCTTTTTTTGTATTAAACCTAAAACTCTAATGAGAAACCTTAAATTAAGGAGAATTCTTGTTTGTTTGTAATTTGAATTAGTTGCAAGCTATCCCTAATCATTTCAGTGCAGTTTCTGCATATCAACAATGGTGCTGTCGAGCTAGATGCATCTTTCATGGGGGCGGCCCAACAAGAGGGAAAGAAGATGAAAGTTCCACTTAATTCAAGGTGTTTTCATTGTTTCCTTGAAAGATTTGCTAATTCAAGGGCATCATGTCACACATATACTCATTTTAAGTCTTTTGGCACATCCATTACACTCGTTGCTCTCAAATGCCTATACCATCTTAGTCTTTTCTTTCTGTAATTGTTTTTCTTTACTCATTTTTCTTCCTATGTGCTTCTTTGGTCCTCTGTGTTTACACTTATTACTGTGTATCGTAATAATTACAGTGACAAGCTGTTTAAAGAGTTACGGGATCTCAACTTTGAAGTTGTTGGCCAGGTTGATCTATATTCAGCACTTTAGATTGTTATGTTTTCTTTTCCTGAAGCTATTTCTTCTAAGGTCTTATGAAAATGAAAAATCCTTCCTAGCAGTTCCATTTCTCATTGCTACCTGCAGTATGATTGCAGATTCTACGTCAAAAAGCACAATCAATGAAGCAGGACTACACCGATGTGACTAGCAATGTAAGTGAATGTTATAAGAGCTGAATACTTGCCCTTCTGCAATCATGAGGTGATTTTGACTCAATTTTCTATTCATGAACCTGATGGTATTACCAGAATTATTTTTTTCTAATGAAGTGATAAATAATTTTGCATATAGAACCAGACAGGTTCTGAATTGAAGGACTTTGTCAAAAAACTGAACTCGTTGCCAGAAATGACTGTAAGTAATTCTTTAAATCATTATAGGAATCCATACAGGGAGTTTTATATTCTGATTTGCTACAATTATTGCTGTAGAGGCACATAAATCTTGCTCAGCATCTGTCAACGTTTACGTCAAAGGCATCATTTCTCGGACAACTTGACATGGAACACACAATTATTGAGGGTCAAAGTTATGACATGTAAGCTGAATTTAGGCTGCTGCTGTTGAGAACTTACATGTTTAGGGGTTTTAAGCTTTCATTTTCTTTAGCCATGTAATTAAGACTGAAAGAGTTTGTGAATGCAGATGCTTTGAGCATATTGAAGAAATGATCCATAAGCAGGAGCCTCATGTGAACGTCCTACGTGTTCTCATATTGTTTTCTATTACAAATTCTGGGTTACCCAAAAAGCATTTCGACTATTTAAGGCAAGTGCTCTTCACTCATCACATAATATGTTTCAATTTAATCCTTTTGGTTTTATATCTTATATTAAATGGTTTTTGTATTCTTGGTTTAGGAGAGAACTACTCCATAGTTATGGATTCGAGCACATGGTTACACTGAATAATTTAGAGAAAGCTGGATTGCTTAAAAAACAGGTTCATTTTTATTTTACCCTCGCAAAATCATCCACTGGTTTCCTTGGATAATTTAGTAACTGGTGAATGGACTTGTTTGCCCAAAAGAATAAATGTGGATTCATTGTACACGTCTGAACCTTGCAGGAGATGAAAAGCAACTGGCTGACAGTTAAACGTGCCCTGCAACTTGTAGTTGAGGACACTGACACTGCAAGGTATTATTCTCTTCACTTTTAATTTTCTTTTTGGCTGTGTTCCCTTTTCATTGGTACTAACTTGGTAGGCAATTTTCTTATATCACAGTCCCAATGATATTTCCTATGTGTTTTCTGGATACGCACCTCTTAGCATTCGCCTCATCCAGCATGCTGTTCGATCTGGATGGTGAGCCTAATTCCTTCACTAAAATTTTTGTAGCATGTTCGTTTTCTTTCCGTTTTTGTTTATCTGTTTCTCATCTTCTTTCAGTAGATCCCATCAATTCTTCTTCACCACGAGTATATATTGTGCAAGTCATTTGCCCTTTGTTCTACTCAAGCTCTTAGAAAACCACAGGAAATGATAAAGATGTATAATCTATCGTTTAAGTTTTCTAATAAGGGCCCATACAATTTAGAATAGTTTAAGACTGAGGCAAGTTCAATTTTGCTGGAGACAAATTCCAGGTAGGCACTGAAGCCGGAAATGTACTCATGCAAAGTGGACAGCTGGGTCCCTAAATTTATCATGTTAAATGTCTATATTTAATTAAATCAACGTTGGAAGTTTCTTATCTGTAGCCATGGTATAATATTCTGGGAAGTTGGTATTACAAGATGGTTTCTTGGTCTTGCCTCTTCTACATGATTTACCGTTGTCCCACCAGAAATTCATTACACCAGTCTTTCACTAGATAAACGTTGGTTTTGTTCATGTTATCTCGGTATCTGGGTCTCTTAGTTGAAATTTCTTTATTTTTGTAGAGCTCTTACTTCTTACTGAAACTTTGAAGTTCGGTAGTCGAGGATCAGAACTTCTATTTCAAATAAGGCTTGCACCAAAAAAAAAAAGACTTTCATAGGACTCAAATTAAAGTCTTGTGGCTTTTTATGATTAACTTAAGGCTCATTATTCTTTTCCCCTTTTCCTCTTCGTATTGCTTTGGTTTTGGCGGAATTTTCATTGTTGTAAATTTTCATGATCTCGATATGTGGTTAATTTGCTCTAAAACATGCAACTTTTTTACTTTCAGGCGTCCTATTGAAGAGATTCTGAGGCTTTTACCTGGACCACATTCAGAAATAAAGAGAGTTAGTACATTTCTTGAGTTATTTGTTCTTATTTTATCTTTGTGTGTGTATGTTGGATTACATGTTAAGCTGATTTTTTCCGTTGTAACAATTTTACAAGGCAGATTCTCAGGCAGCCCGTCGTTAGACACTTTGCAGGGGCATTCGGCCAATGTAGACAAGTATGTCCCAACTGGTCCTATTTTATAAGATTCTGCTCTCAGTACTGTATTTCTTGATTTGTTGTTTGCTAATGCTGCATGTATACTTCATTGTAACATTTCTGAATATATCCCAGGGTGTCTGATGGAAGGCGTTCTCTAGTACTGGTCGTCTTCGTTGGAGGTGTAACGTTTGCGGAGATCTCTGCTCTTCGATGTCTCAGTGCTCAGGTATGTTGATTGTTTTGCACATATGAAATCTACGACATTTATTTAGGTTATGCCATTTGGTAGGTGGATGGGTTGGATCTCATTTATACAACTGTTTTAGTTCACGTGTCGGGGTTGATTATCCCAAATTTTCTCTCCTTTTCTCTCATCTGTTGCCTGCTTGATGTCCTAATTCCTGAATCTATGGCAATTTGGATCTTGTGGGAAGGGATGGCATATGATTTGATAATTTGGACATTAGTGGGAAGTTAGATTGACATGTAAAATTTTGTAGATCAAATAAGATTGGATGTGATGAAATAAAATTTTGTAGATCAAATAAAATTTTGTAAAATTTTATTGAAAGACCCGCTCTGCGATTCCTCTTAGGGCTCATTTGTGCTTTTAAAATGGCTGAAAGCGTTTTTAGCGAAAATGTTTTTGGATTCCCAAAGCACTTTAAGTGCTTTTTCAGGATTTACTTGCATTTTTACAAAGAATTGGTTACAAAAACATTTTCGCCAAAAGCGCTTTTAATCATTTTAAAAGCACATCCAAACGAGCTCTTGATCAACGGGAAGTGATTCGAACCTAAAACTTTTTCCGATAGCATGGGAAGATAAATTCTGTGATGCGAAGAGCTATTCCTGTTACTAATAAAATGTCTTTATATTCTCAACTTGTGTTCTTCCTGCTGTTTTTCTAATACATTTAACTATTTACTCAAAGAAAGAAAATGGATTTCTGTTTAAATAATAGATGAATAATGTTTGAGAAGCATGAAACATGCAAGTTTACAAGCCTACCGTTTTTGACCTGGAAAAAGAGCATACATAAAATAAAGCAAGAGAGACTGTGTCGCATGCGAATTTTTTATCCAAACGTTGCGAGTGCATAAAACGTGGAATTCTAGAGGTTAAAATGAAAGCGCGAGAATCGCTATCTGAAACAGAATACCCGGTCTACTGTATCTGGAAAAGCCGGCCATATTGAATGGTAGAAAAATCAAGAATTTTCCCGCCTTCTTGTTTATTAATTAAATTTTATGGTAACTCTCCAATAATAAACTACTTTGAACACTTGATATGTCGATATTGGATATTCAGTGCTTAAAATGTTTACAAAATTTTCGATATTTTCGTCTAAATATTCAAAAATAAAAAATCTATATAAAGAAAGGGTTGAAATGCAAAATTCATCCTATATCGATGAAATATAGAAAAATCAATATCAATGATATTTATTCATTCACTACAGAAATTTTGCTAGAATTCATTGCATACTTCGAACTTTTGAATTATTTTTGAAAAATTTTTCTCAATTTCAACTAAATCTGAATGAGTTGATATACCGACCCCATTGCAAATTTTCACAACTTCCGGCAACTGATATCGATACTTGCATCGATATATCCATAAATTTACATATTGATTATTTCAAACATTGCGTATATTACAGTAGAACTACACTTTCTTCATCCTACTAGCATTGTTGGGAAATAAAATCATCGTCGACGCGTTGAAGCAGCTCTAAAACACTTACAGCTTTTCTCTTGGCCCTCTCAGTGCCATTTTCCGACAATTCCTTCATTGCCTCTTCCGCACCGAGTTCCCTTGCTAGTTTCAACTGCTGCAAATCACCTGCGCATAACGACCATAACACAGCAGCAGCATTCTCCCGGTTGCGTGGGAAACCAGTTCTTATAACTTCCACTAAAACTGGGATTGGCTCAGCTTGAGCAATTGCTGCCTTCCCCTCTTGGTGGCTAGCCAGAATGGCCAGGATTGCTAGCGCTTCATCCACCATCCCGCTTCCTGCGTCCTCGAGCAATCTCATCAGTGGGGCCACAATACCTGCCCTTACAGCCCTGGCCTTGTTTCCCTGATAGATTGAAAGATTAAAAATAGCGGTAGCCGCATCCTTTTTCCCTCTCGGTGTCCCCTCGCACAGCAATTTTATAAGGGCTGGGATAGCTCCAGCAGCTCCAATTGCCACCTTGTTTTCATCTACAACAGACAAACTGAAAAGGGTTGCAGCTGCATTTTCTCTAGCCTCCATGCTGCCATTTTTCAAAACATCTACTATATCGGGTATAGCTCCAGCATTTACAATCCCTCCCTTGTTGCTCTCATTTATCGAGAGGTTGAGAAGTGCTGTAACGGCATGCTCTTGGGTCCGAGAATCAGCAGACGACAAGAGCTCAACAAGGAGAGGAATGGCTCCTGCCTCAGCAATACACACTCTATTATCTCCATTCCTCTTTGCCAGCAAGCGGAGTTCACCAGCAGCTGCTCTTTGTTCTTCCGAGTTCCCCTTTGCTAGTTTTTCTAACAAGGAAGCAATAGAAGCACGATCAGAGTCTGAAATACTGCTTCCTGCTTTTCTGTTTTTACCATTCCCTTGCTTTTTGGGTAGCTCAACACCATTGCTTTCACACCACAAAGCAATTAGACTCTTCAAAACATAGTTTGGTGTTATGGCTGTGTGCAACAATGTCTGCTGTGTTTTGGGACAAGTTTTGTGTCCTGCATTCAACCACTTCTGAATACATGATCTTTCGTATGTCTGCGAAAATAGGTGAAATCATTAACCACGAGAACAATAGAGAAACTGACAAAGCGGTACGTTGTTAAAGACGGTCAAGGACGTACCTGTCCAGTAGAGACAATCACAGGATCCTTCATCAATTCTAGTGATATTGGACACCGGAAATCATCTGGGATGACAGGAGATCTGTGCTTGACCGTGCTCTTGTCATGTTCTGAGTTGTCGACTTCTGGGTTTTCCATAAGCGCTAGGTCCTTTAGCTTCTTAAGCAGAGATTGCATCTTTTCAAAGTGGTCCCCTAGATCTCCGTCACTTGCGATAACCCATTCATGGAAAGCAAGTGACTCTTTCTTTAAATCATTGATGGTTCTGAGGTACAGCTTCTCTGAAAGTCTTTTTATTACTGCAGGGTCAGGATCTGTGTCTCTTACTGCTACAGCTAAATCCATCTCTAGTTGTGAGTCAAGGCAGTCCTTTTTTTCTTTCGCTCTTTTGAATTGAGCATGCACTAGTTCAATCTGAAAGAAATTACACGGGATACTTCTTGTTAAACACTTTGAAAGTGAAAAAATCCATAATTTGACACTATTTTATGCGTTTTATAATTTGTTGCTCGCAAAGAGAACGGGCTTTCTCTCTCATTGTTGCATAATCGCACCATTAAAAAAAGCGCAAAGAGAGAAAAGATAAACTATGGGTCATTGTCTGCTCAAACTCTTCTTCAAATGCAAATGTGGAATGCGGGTTGTAAATGTACCTGTTCGCAAACTTCCTCTGACATGTCAAATTTCTCGTAAGGAATTTTACTCAATGCTGCTTCAATTTTTACCGTCATTTGGTGAAACTTATCAATGATCTCGTCCCTCTGCAAAGCCTGTTACATAAGAAAACACTGTCTACCTTTAAAACCCTGACTAGCAATTAGCATACATCTTGGTACATAAAACATTCATTGATGTTCATATTCTGTTGCTTCCAAGTGTGCATGTAAAGTACATGCTCATATCTAGTGCTACTACACCAGAGTTCAAGTGTGCATGTAAAGGACATCTACCCGTCTTGGAGGATGTCAATCTCACTTTCTATATGTTAAATAATAATCGGAAGAAATGAAAGCACGAACTGACGGTGAAAACGTAAACACTAGTACTACACTTGATCATTATATTCAGTTCAAATTCAGGATATCACAGTAGAATGCGAGAAGATGCAACCTATTGTTCCAAAACCTCCTTCGTATGAAAGCACTACATTCTAAGAAGTCGAGTTACTCAGTCCTTACAAAATAAAAAGAAAAAAAAAAGGTATCACTGCAACTTAATTAAGCTGGCAATAAACTATTAAAACTGTTAAATAACAATAATGCAGCGTTAACTTGTACATTGCATAGATGAGAAATTTTCTAAGTCAACAAACATGGAGGTCAAAATAACACGGCAGAGGTCCTTAATTGGCTATTTAATCAAAATAGTCTCTGAGATTGGCAACTCCTCACTTCGGTCCCTGACAATGAAAATCGATAAAAGTGGTCCCTAAGTTTGTCCACCGTAAATCATTTTGGTGCTTCTGTGAAAAATGTGTCAATATCCTTGGTTTCTTGGTGTATTTTACATGATTGAGTAGAGTTGTCTACTTATTAGATTAGCAACACAGCATAACTAAGTAGGGCTAAGTCCTGTTTGTTGCTAATTAAGGGGGTTGTAGTCAAACTAAAAGTGATAGATTTGATAGGATTTAAGAGGATTAAGGACTCTTACAAAATTCATATGGATTTTTAAAGAATTTGAATGGATTGCGGTGGATTGTGGTGGAAGGATTTGAAATCCTAGGGGGTGAGGTTGTATTCTTTTTAGTTTGGTTATATATACTTTTGGCTCTCAAATCCTACAAAATCCACAACTTATTGAAATCCTCCAAAATCTTAATTTTTTGAATACACTTGGATTTGAATGGATTTTAAAATCCTTTAAAATCTTTTAATTGACTACACCTCGATTTTAAAGGATTCTAAAATCCTTTAATTGACTACACCTAGATTTGAATGGATTTTAAAATCCTTTAAAATCTTTTAATTGACTACACCTTGATTTTAAAGGATTCTAAAATCCTTTAATTGACTACACCTAGATTTGAATGGATTTCAAAATCCTTTAAAATCTTTTAATTGACTACGCTAGGATTTTAAAGTCTTAAAATCCTCTCAAAAATTCTAGTTTGACTACACCCGTAAGGAACAAAACATTTTCATTGCAGTATTATGCTCCTTCCATCAGAAAACAAAAAGGACAGAACCTGAGCAATATATATTCGATTGACAATTTTCCGAATCCTTTTCGAACTAAAACCACATTCGCAACTACCATGTTTTCCTTAACTTACTCTCTACCTTGGCTAAGAATTGTGTTTCCTGCAAACTGGGAATTTCAAAATACCTTAGAATTCCTAGCTAAATCAAATGCTACAAAATCCAAAACTTTACTTTTCTCTCTCCACTTTCCTTCGTTTTCTCAGCAACCAAACAGAAAACAGAAAATTGAAAAACACAAACAAAACAAAGCAAGTACCTGATAAAGCTTGCTCCCTTGGTTGACCGACTTGATGAGCTGCTTTGCCGAATTCAAAGCCTCCCCCAGCGACTCCAGAGCTACAGCTTCTTCTTCTCCCAGCTGTTTATTGTTATCCTTCAATTCCTCGAACAGAGGACTCAAAAGCTTGACTCTCCGCACGAAGTTTCCGTACATCTTCCTGAACGCGTTTCGGCACTCGGGCAACTCCGAAATCGCCTTCACCGACTCGGCGAGTTGATTCACTACTGACCTGCTCGTATCTTCTCCCGTTGGACCCATGTGGGGTTGAGAGCTGAATTGTACTGGGAGGAGCTGGAGCTGGAGGTTTTAGGGGAGATGAAGAAGGCCCAGATGAGCAAGCTGAAGGATTGGGATTGGGATGGCGGTGTCAAGAAAGAAAGGGGCAAAATTGGAATGTCAAAGTAAACGCGATGGATGGTGGTGGTGGTGGTGCTGGTGCTGGAAGAAGAAGGTGGTTGTTGTGGATATATATGGTAACGCCAAAGGTCGGAGTTTGGTCTATTCTTCAACTCTTGTGAACCACGAATTAAATATTAATAAAAGTTCTTATGTTTAACTTATTACGTGACTTAATTTAAATATCTCATTTTTTACTGTAAATAATACCGTTATACTAAAACAATTTCTCAATCGTGCATAGCTTGGTATGTGCTCGTTTTCTAATAACTCAGAGTCCAAATTTATGAATAGTTCCTTTTGTAGTTTGAGTCTTCTAAATCTCTTCCTTATGGAGTAATTTAGGTTAATATCGACTTGTCAAAAAATAAAAAAGGTGTTCATCGACTATAAGATATACGCAAATATTTTACTAATCGATAACAACTAAAAGTTATCATATTTGTATGCCTTAAAAGTTGAGACATTCTTCCACTAGGTAGAAATCTTGCTTAAAGAACAACTAATGTGATTGAACTACGGAGTCATGGTAAGTTAGGAAGTCATTGCTTAATCCTTGTATGGGGTTAAGTGTTACGGTCAGATGACATCACTTATGACCAAATTTTTGTTGCCTTGCGACGGAACTGCCCTTTACATTGCATTGCAAAAGAACTAATCAAAGCAGATGCATTTAAGTAAAATAAATATTTGTGACGATAAATTGATAACGAAAATAATGAAACTTCTTTACGTTGACTTAAGAATTGTAAGGGTATGTTTGGGGGAGAAATTTTCAAATTTTAAAGTATTTAAATAAAATGAAGAAGAAATAGATCGTATAAAGTTAGGGAAAATGAATTTAAAAAATATATCACATGAACAGTACAAAGGTATATAAGAGGCATGTAAATTACTTCTTTCAAGTAGTCATTTTGCAAAAGTCTCTTTGCATGACTTTGTAATACTCGTGTGGTTCATTTCTGATCTCTCTTATCTGATTTTTTTGTAATTCATTTCTTCGTTGCAACATCTAAATCTTTGAAATTTGAAAATTTCTGACTTGACATTTTCCAATATGTCAAAGTAGGATTGAAATTTGATTTGGTCATATATTAATATTTTGTTTTTCTTTTTGTCAGCCCGCCGACTTGTAAATATGAATTTAATAAATTGCGTCCATCAAAAAGGGGTATTTTTGACCTTTAACAAGTAACTTGGCCAAGTCCTCCCTATTGTGCTAGTTTTCATTCCCGCCCGTAAATTAGCCAGACAGTAAGCTAGCTGTGCTCCGCTTCAACTTAAGCCAAAATCTCGTCTCTTTTTTCTTCATTTAGAGAAAATTTTTATTGTGCCAGAAATATTATTTTATATATTAAATGTTATAATATAAGTGGTTAAAACTTTTAATTAAGTATCCAACTACTTGTATTATGAAGTTTGATATATCGGACCATGTTTCCGATACATTAAAAAATCTCTTCTCTGTATGGATCTAAATTTTACCATGCTCTTCCAATCTTGCATTAATGTTTATTTTATGGCTTAAACAATGTGAGTTATTGATGGAAATTGAAGGTGACATTAATCCATCATGAGTTGTTTGATAGAGAGAGAGAAATTGAATGAATGTGATTTCTTATCAGCTTTAATAGGCAACGAATCTTGAATGTTTTGTATGTTATTATGATCCTTTTGGGGGGATATTATCTTAATTTCGTAGTCTAATCAAACTAAGTGACTAAGTCGACATTAGAGATTGACATGCGATAAGGTTTACGAGTTATGAAGGGTGGAGTTTGTGGGTTTCAAATTTTCAATAGCTTCAACCACTTTATGAGTTTGGTAAACACTAAAAGCTGAATTGATGTCATTTGTAAAATAAAATTGTAACTTGTGGAATCTTTCTTCAATGATATTGGTACGTAGTTTGTAGAAAATAAATGATTGAGATTGATAATAAAAGATTTAATATTGGTGGAAATCAAATCTAAAATCTAAAACATCAACATTGAGTGTTGAGTAGTTTTGAGGCTGCACCCCAATATTTGAACATATTGTATACTTTTTTTTTAATTTTTTTTAGTGGTATTCTCCTTTACTTGTAAACGAGAGGTCTTGTGTTCGATTCTCGCCAAAGGAAAATTGGAATCACATTATTGCTAACCCATTATGAGGTTAAGCCCACCTTCCCCTCTTAGTGTAGATAATATCTTTTGTTCAATATATATATATATATATATATTGTATACTTTTACTCATGAAGTAAAAGAAGAGTAAAAAAAAAAAATTAAAAAAGGGGACCAGCTGATGGTTTCGCCACAACAAACCTTCCTTCTGGGAGCTGGAAGACTCATAAAGACATTTAAGCCTTCCTGGCCATCATCATGCGATTTATGAGCACCAAGAATCGAACTCTAAGATGTGTCGTGTGAAATACAGGTCTGAAATTCGTTCGAAACCATTCAGCCATCCGTGGTGGTTGAAAACAAGGGAAAAGGATCATCTCCGAATCCTCTTTGTGGGATTCGGGATCAATCAATCATGTTCGCTCATTGTATATTGTACGGTTAGAAATCATTTAAAATTTAAAATTAAATATAAATAGTACCAAACAAAAACTGACCGTACGATGTACAATGAACAAACATAATTACAAGATTCTTTAGATCCCCACAAAAAAAATCCTACAATGATCCTTTTCCGAAAACAAGTCTTCTGGCTGTTACTTTTTATTTTGATTAGACAATTTTTGACACGAGCCAAATAACAACCCGGCTAACTAAGCTTAGCCAGTAATGAAGAAGCCACCAGGTCAGTCAACTACGCGTTCCAAAGAACAGGTTCCTGCCGGCGCCTAATAACGAAGCGCAATGTGTCGCGATCATGCCGACGTGGAATGGACACACCAATCCGCGGCCTGAATATTTAGTAAGGTAGGGACCCACGACCCTCGTTTTCTATTTTTATATTGGGCAGATGAAGAATGTCAATCACTGGATATCGGCAGGTCCCTGTCATGCTTCCGATTCGATCTGGACCGTTCAATTACCTTTGTCAACTTGCTTGGCTACACGCTCTTTTCTTTTCAGGTTGAAAGGAATAATTAAACCAAATAATTGTACATCTAACTTTAATTACTCTATTGAAATTAGCCTAAACTAACTTTTGACTTGTAAAATAATTAATCACCCCCGAGAGATCAAACTTTAGTCCGGGACATCTGATAAAATTGGAACGATAAGTAAATTTATATTCATATCATGTTTAACATAAAAGTTAATTTTTAGTTATGTTGAAAATCCCAAATTGGAGATTTGACAAAACAAATTATGATTTAAGTAGAAATGGTTTCATCTTCTAATTACACTGATGCTTTTTATAATAAAATCTCACACTTGTTGTGATATATGTAATTAAGTTGAGAACAATATCAATGTTGAATCATTCGACCCATCTATTTGAAACTTAAACAAGTTATTGTGCCATGCTTGTGTCATTAGCATGAGAGATCACAATTTTTTCTCCTGCTATTGGGCCTCATAATGAAAACTAATGTATGTTGTTTGTATTAGAATAGGTCGTGTTCCCCTAAGGTCACAAGAGACCTGATAGCACAACGATTTTGATCACTAGATAAGATTTGATGTTATCCTTATCTCACAATAATTGAAATCTGATTGTTAATTCTTCAAGATAATTAATTTTCAAATCTATGAGATAACTCTAATTGAATTTCGTTCTTCCTCAATACAAAAGCCGGGCCATAGAAGTGCTTGAGGTTAACTTGAAGAATTTAACTTTGATGACATGTGTTTGAGTTTAAGAAATTAACTTGTATTTCAAACGGTCAGTTAGTACTATAATTTAGTGGTATTTCTTTCACTTGTAAGTAAGAGGTCTTAGGTTCGATTCTGGCGTAAAGTCGAATTTGAATCACATTATTGCATATATATTTTAAGGCTTTTTCGTCAAAATAGTTATTGAGATTGGCATAATTCTTCATTTTGGTCTTTGATAATGAAAATCGATGTAGTGGTCTCTGAGTTTGGCCACTCTAAATCATTTTGATATTTCCGCGAAAATGCCATATCTTAATGCTTGACGGGAAACAACTCGCAAATCTCCTCAACTGTCTTCACCTTAATCAAATCTGCAACCTTTTGAAACATAAGATCCTGCAATTCCTTCACGCATAGAAAGTTTGCGGTGCATAACAGATTAATGACAACGTTGGCTTGGACACTTCCTCAACAAATTCAGCCTCCCAATCTTTGATTAGTTGTTGTGTGCTTGTTGTGCTTTTAGTAACACCACGATAAGAAGCATTATGCTTAATCTTCCACCACTCTTATCATCATGACTAGGGTTTTGGAATTGACCTCTGGCAATGGTATCACATGGTTGACACCGATGACGTCGACTAGGGATTTTATCGGTTCCTACAGCGCTACCACATATAGCTTCTTCTACTTCGAGTATTTCGTTATTCGAGCTACTCAATTTCACAACCCTACTCTTTGACACCGACATCATGGCGTTTGGCCGTTGAAGTTCAGCGTTAGAGAAGAGAAACTATTGTGTGACGAAATGATTATCGAGCGGACTCTAATCTTGTGTTCTGGTTATTTAAAGAAATAAGTAAATAGAAGGCAATTGAGGGATGATTGATAACCCTAACCTAATACTATATAGTATTAGCATAGGTTCTGTGCAAACAGACCGAAGCGGTCGAAACCATACAACTAGGGCTTCAAACTTTCAACTAAAACCTAACAGATAGGAAACCCTAGCTAGCCTAGGGTTTTTGGGTGGATTCTGGATAGCAATTAGCATTGCGGAAAAGGGTGCGGCAGCCGCAATGGCAGTACGCTTTCCTAATTGAATGGTATTTCCCACAGGCATCGGGTCTAGGTCCAGGAGGTTTTATCCTAATATGTGTTGGATTCGAATCTTGGAATGCAGTGTGTACACTTATATACTAAAAACGGGGATGAAAAATTCAAGAAGCAGCATCCGGAATTCTCTGGCACAAGTACAAATATTCTCTTGTCCAAATTATTACTTATATGATAATTTCTAGCTAGCTTAGCATATCTTTGTATACTTATAATTTCTTGAATATAAAATCTGCTTTGTTATCAATTAGGGTTGTAGTCCATCTGACTGTCATATGTTGATGATGAGGACCCAGAAGAGAATGAAGCACAGCTCCTGCAACAATATGAACAACGACACAGAGCTGATGGACCTACCCATTGAAATCCTTATCAACATCCTTTTGAGACTGCCCGTAAATTCGCTTCGTAGCATCCAGTGTGTATCTAAGGCCTTCTTAGACATGGTTGACGACCTCTCTTTTGTTACACTGCACACGCATCGTTTACTTAGCAGTAGTAGTGATTGTACCAGTAATGTTCCTCGTCAAGTACCTCGACTTATGCTTCTCATCGAATCCTCGAAGGGTAAAGGAAATATTACGCACCCATTAATATACCATGGCGACAACACCACCTTGAGAAAGATCAAACATGGAAATATTTTCGGGGTTTGGTCCAGGCTTCCATATATCTTGTCTTTTGCTTTTTGCAACTTGTTTTTATTTCGAGGGAAGATCAGTTCCAAAGCATACCTACCTTTCCTATTGGATCCTCTTAAGGGGGAAGTTCTAATGCTCCCTGCAGCCAATAATACAGGTCTCAGCTGCCAATGTGATTCGTACGGCATGGGATTTGACTGCTTAACGAACAACTTCAAGGTTGTTCGTATTTCCCAACATACCAATGAGAAACCTGCGTGGAACAAAATGGTGAAAATGGTATCGGTGGCCGAAGTTCTTGTTCTTGGCACAAGCTCATGGCGAGAGATATATTCAGTTCTTCCTCCTTGCCTCCGGTTCTCCAACGAAAGAGCATCTGCATATGGAGACACGCATTGGTTGGTTCTTCGTCCAAATGAGTATTCAACTATTCAAGCAGAAAGCGATCTACCAAGTATACTTTCTTTTGACTTCAAGAAAGAGGAGTTTTATTGGACTCCTCACCCCACCTTAGAAAAAAAGTCGGGTACCTCCCTCGCTCTTTTTCACTTGCTTAACTTGAGAGGATCATTAGCCCTAGTGGATGGTTCGTCAGATATTCATATGGAGATATGGGAATTGAAAAACAATGACAAGAAAGAGTGGGTGCTGAGCTACAAAATAGATATGAAACATCCTTTTCGGAATCTTCATGTGTCGGCATGTGGTGAATGGGAGCACGGTATATTTTTCCAGGATACTTGCTATGATCACACCAATAGAAGTATATTCTTCTTGGATCTAACATGTATTTCCATGAATCTTGCAAAACTGGAAGGTAGTAAGTATTATAAGAGGATCTTTACTTGTACCGAGAGCTTGATGTCTCTCAGGAATTATGGAGATTTGGTTGAAGCAAAACAAGCTACTGAAATCTCCCCGTCTATTGAGACCGGGCTAAAGTTGGAAGAGCAAGCGGGAGAGATTTTCCACTAGTCGCAACTCGCAAGAGGAGCCAATTATACACGTCTGATCGGCGATGATTGCTACGGAATGGGATTTGACAGCATAACCAACACCTACAAGATTGTTCGTGTTTCTCGACATGAAACGGATGACCAAGATCCACAACACCCGTGGCACAAGAAATTGGAGTTGGTGGCTGAAGTTCTTGTACTGGGAACAAGCTCATGGCTGGAGATAAACTCGGTTCCTCCTGCGATTTATGCTACAACCACCCCAAAACGCAGCAGTAGCATGCGTTATTGTGTTACATGATCTAAAATGAGTTTAAACTCGTAGGAGGTGTGATATTCAGTTGTACCGAGAGCTTGAGTACTCTTAAAGCTACTGAAATCCTCATGTCTCAAGAGAATCTGACTAATGTTGCAGAAGCAGGAGGGGAAGAGTCGGTTTTACTTTAGATCAAGGTAGCACAACACAAGGCTTTAGTGTTCCCTTAGTAGCAAGCAAGAGGTGGGGTCCGGTCCATGTCGTCCTGATTAAATGTAACTTATTTTTTCCATAACAATATTACTCCATCGTACCAACTTGATGTTTGTTAAAATCAAAAAATCACACGATGTTCCATTCAAATATATATCAAACAAATAAATTCATGTACGAAAATTTATCATTCATCTTCGTTGTTTTTGCTTTGGAAGATCAAGAAAACCAAATTGATGAAAAATGTCTAAAAGATTATTAACACTTTGATCAGCTATGTGGGTTCCCAGGCACTTACAGATGATTAGTGTGTGCAAATTAAAGTACGATCATGCAGTTCCAACTGGAACTATCGGATGAAACCCACAGCCCAGCAAAATGCAAAAGCTACAAGCTATTTCACAATATACACAAATTGGGAAATTACAGAAAGGAAAGTAAGTCTCCTTAGCATGAATAAGTTCTTTATTTAATCAGCTTTCACGGATTCTGCTGCGTTGTTGAAGGGGCTGGACGGGGTAGTCGCTTGGCAATTTCCTGCCAAAACAAGACACGGTGTCAGCATTCCTAGTAATCGATGAGCTTCGGATTTAAGGGTTTATAATTTAATTTAAAGTTCTGGGTTATAAGGCAGGAACCTGAAGTTTGTACGGAGTCTACTGTAAATAACAATTCAATGGCTAATACAGAAATATCCTATGACGGAAACATAAACGTTACTAGGGTTACCTCAAACAGCTGATTAATATTATCTGCTGTCTTTGCGGATGTCTCGATAAAGAACATTCCATTCTTTTCTGCATATTCAATGCCATCCTTTACAAACAAAACAGATGTTTATTTAGTCATGTGAAAGTCTATTTTGCAAATACATGGAAAGAAGATGCACTAGATTGAGTGGTAAGGAACTCACCTGAACAGGAACTTCACGTTTCTCATGAAGATCAGCTTTGTTACCGACCAAGGCCAAGACAATATCCGGGCTCCCATGTTTCTGCAGCTCCTGTAGACAGCTAATATTTATCAGTTGTTGGAGCTTAAGCTCCATAACGCAGATTGATAGGCAAACATCCAATTACTAGCTCCTAGTTCAATACAGATAGCTGCTCTTCCTCCTTACTATGAAAACTATAATGCGTGGAGTAGTTATAACACATTAAGTGGATCTTTTGAGCATCGACAACAATCTGGCTTAGAGGTTCTTAGTCAGCCAACTGGAACCTCACTGTCCCACATGTTCAAGTCTTTGCGAGATAAATAAAGAAACTAACCATTACTTTTACCTGTCATTAAGAACTTACAAAAAATAACACTCTAAATTTTGACTTTCGGTTTAAAAACCTGTCTTTATAATTACAAATTTATCACGAAATAGAGATTTTGATGGTAGACTATATGACGCTTTACCGATGAGGTAAAAAAATCTGTTATTGAAGCCATTTTGTAACCTCGTAGTTTATTAAACAGTTTTTTTACCTTTGTCAAACCTGTTGCTTGCTAAACGTGGATGCAAGAGTAAAGGATGATTTCCATTGAACAAAAAGAAATGATTTACACCTAAATAAAGAAACAACAAAAATATCACAATTGATGCTTGTGTGCCTTCGTAAAAGATACCTTAACCCAATATTGCGCTTTGTTGAAAGAATCTGGACTTGTTATATCATATACAATAACTGCAACTGCAGCACCCCGATAATAAAGTGGGGCCAATGCAGCATACCTGAATAGGAGTTTATAAACAATCAATATAATTCTGCAAAAGGAGTACACTGCGGGAGAAAGTATCCAGGAAGGAGTACAGGAGAGGGCAAAGAAGGATGCCTTGGAAACAAGAACATAGGATCAAATTTCACCATAAACCAGTAAACTAGTGTTATATCTAAAACGATTGGCAAAATACCTCTCTTGGCCTGCAGTGTCCCATATTTCAAATTTAACAGTTGTAGAATCTTGTAAAGCTATCGTCTGTGACAAGAATGAAGCTCCAACAGTCACCTGGAAATATTAAAAACCAGAAAATTTGAGTAAATGATCATCATATTAGCTTCCATGTACCTCAACGGAAAGGCTAGATATTGAAACCCAAAAACAGGGTACATAGACCATAAGATTTCTCGAAAGTAAAACATCGTCAGATCTACTTGTGATTAAGATTTAACATATAGCAGTAACATGTTCCTTACCTTGGATGTGGGGTCAAACTGACCACGAACAAAACGCAGAACAATACAGCTTTTACCAACACCAGAATCACCCAACAAAACTAGCTGAAGAGTGACAGGAATGAAAGGTTAGTTGCATTCAGTCATATGCTTTATATAAACCATGATGGACATTATTGCTTTTATCAATTTTATACAAAGAGTCCTCTGTTCTTCAAAATTTTAAACAAAATAAGTAGAATCCTCTTAAACTTCAATACCGAATGCATCTTACTACTGATTTTTTATTTTTATTTTTTTTAACGGCAACATTTGCTTAACTGAACTCCGTAATAAATTCTACGTCTGCCAATATACTCGAGCTCCACCTACTACCAGTTTGCAGAAGCCAACTTATCCGATAAATTTCAAAGATCCGACCGGGCATAAATAACTGATTGTCAAGAAACTAGTGTTATCATAAATTCAAAAATTCTGGACCCTATTTTTAATGTACGCTGTTGGGAAGCATTCCCTAATGTATCAGATTCACGTAGAAAACTGTTAAGCGTATCGAAACACACTAGTCATATGTGTTAAGTTAAAGTTAGCATTTTCCACACCCACACTAACCTTGAAATGAGCAGAAGTTGGTAATGACTCAAGTATCAAGCACTTTTAACTCCATATAAGTGACAGTAACATCATTAATAGCATAAGTTTAGCCTAAAAAGTACCTTCACACGTAGATTTTTGGCATCAGAAGCTCCACCGTTCTCGGAATTTGGCCCGGCCAACCGCCCTGAACTCCTATCTGCAAGCAACCAATCCCCATTCAATCAAATTAAAAAACACAAGAAAAAGGAACAAAATTATCAAAAGGGTAATCACAATCGAAGCAATTAGCGAAACCCAAATCCTAATTAAGCAAACAAATAACCCTTCTCTCACTCTCTCTCTCTCTCTGTCAACTCAATCTCGTTGAGCTTAGAAATCAAGGAAATGGACCAAATAAAGAGGACCCGATGGAAATTTCAATGTGATCGAATAGAAACAGTAAAACCTAGAAATAAAATCCCTAAAAGGATCCAAATTTAGATGCGAATTTACCGGGAAGGGAGGCGGAGCAACCCATTGTGAGCCTCTGATGTTCTTATTGAATATGCAACTGTAAATAATCGGTGCCCGCGTGCATGTAGGTGTGAAGTGGATGTGGGTCTAGGGTTTATGTGGAGGAGAGGAGAAGCGAGGGAACAGGGAAGGTGAATGAAATTGCAGAGATGGTTATGGGTTATTGGAGGTAAAAGTTTAGGTCGTTAATGGCTGGTACAAACTAACTTTGTAAGGAAGAAGAGCACACTTAATTTTTAACGTATAGTCTACTACAAGCCTACGAACTGTTTTTGTATATTTCGAATCAGAATAGTTATGGACACTCAAAAATTTTTGTTTTACATTTTAAACTTTCTATAATTAGAAAGAAATATACAATGAGAAGTGTAGGATGAAATTTTTGAAGTGCTAATACTAATTGAATTTAGAAATTTGAAATATACAATAAAATTAAGACAATTTATGTTTTGCCTTTTCTTTTAAGAAACATGAAGATTATATATTATCTAGCAAATAAATTTAGGGGCATATGCATGCCCTTGATCAATTATTTAGTCTTTCTCGTTTACTAAAATGTGGGAAGGAAAATTATTTCACTTTTAATTTTCTGCGTTTGAAATATAGAGAATCAGAAAATGTGAGTTTCTCTAAAAATTTCTTAATCAAATATCTGAATATCAAGAATTTGATCAACTAGTCACATCTAACTAGGAGGACTGATTTGTTCCAAAAAAAAAGAAGAAAAAACTAGGGGGACTAATAACTTTATTCCCTTATCATATTTATAAGTTTTCCAACTTTTTAAGGGGATGTTTGATAACCATTTTGTTGAAATTTATTTGGTAACTACTTTTAGTTTTCAATTTCTTAAAAAAAAACGAAAAAAAAACTAAAATTTCATTTTTCAGTTAAAAAAAAAACTAAAAAAATTGAAATTTAAAAAAAAAAAACAAAATAATTATCAAATGATCCCTTAATTTATCATTTCTGTTAAATAAACATGCCTTAAATTTTAATAATCACTTCACATTTCCTTTCATCATACTTTTTCTTTGGTGGGCTTTTTTTTTTGCCCTTTTTATTTGGGTCAAGACTTGTTGGCATTGTTGACTTTTATTTAAATACATTTTTTAAAAGAAAACTATTTTTGTATAGGGCAAGAGGGGATGAGCACAAAGAAAACTACTAATGGACTTCAAAATTCACTCAGATCTACATTAATGAGCCAAAAAAATCAGCACCATAATTCAAATCCTTGTAAGCATGTTGAACATTGCTTTCCTCAAATCTTTCCTACAAAACTTGCAGAAGAACAGACATATGATAATCACTCTACAACAATATTAACATATATTTGGGCATTACTCTAAACTTTGGGCCTGGTGTTCCTCGGCTCATACTAGTTAATAATATTAGGAGCTTTGAGCCTAGTTTATGTTGCTTGTTCAATTCAAATTCATACATTGGCCCAAATCACTAAAGCATCCAAATTTCAGTTCACACGATGCTTTAGAATTTGGGAAGTGCTAGCAACTTTCTCAGTTACTTTTTTTATTACAACCTTCTCACTTCTACACATGTTACGTGTATTCCACTAACACACAAAATTAACTTTAATTACTTTTTGGATGACTAACTAAAATTTTAATTATACTAACAAAGAAATAAAGTGAGTAATGCTAGGTAAAACCAACTTTTTAGGCCAAATTTGCAAACCATGTGATGTGTTACTAATAGGAAATATGCAGGTTAATCAATAGTTAAAGTAATAATCTAATCATTAACAACCAAGTCATATGGTTAACAAAATTTGATCTAAATAGTTAGTAACATTACCCAAATAAAATGAGTAATGTAGGTAGACCAACTTTTTAGACCAATACACCTTCAAAACATGAGACTAAAGACCTTTCTTGAGGCGCTTTAAGAAAAGTTGGTTTACAAAATTTTGTCTAAATAGTTAGTCTCTCTAACATTACCCAAATAAAATTAGAGGGATTTTAACATATATAATTAATTTTTTTTAGTGCTAATGAAGTACACGTGACATAAAGAGACGTGAGAAGGTTGAAATGAGAATGTAAGTAAGAAGATTGCTAGCATTTCTCTTAAGAATTTAAGTGTTCTTATTTCCTGGCAGCCAAATCTCATCCAAAACTTTCCCAAATACAAAATACAACTTCTTGCATTATTTCAAAAATCGGTACAAGTGAATTTTATTGATAAAAAATAAAGAAGTTATACTTAGTCAAGGAGGGACATAAACATCACCCCTCGTAAACTTTCCCCTTTAAATATTTACTTTATTTCCCCCCTAAAAAATAGTCCAAATTTTTCATGGTTGGCATCGGTTGTACCTGACCGATATCCAAGTGCTAGCTAGCTAGCTAGCTATAGACCATAGTCTAGGGTGGAAGGTAGCATATGGAGAATGCAAAGGAATGAAGGATATATCCCATCGGTATGTGAGGTTGGAAATAAGCAAGTATAGACATTCTTGGGTGATATTTGGAGGTCCTGATGAGTAGACTAAGCAACTTTTTAGGGGACAATCCCACCTGAAGTCAAATAATTGGAGTCCTTTCTAAAGCAGCATCATTGATTTTTCAGCTGTTAAAAGACATTTTACTTATAGTCTCCCCTTCCTAGTTTAACACTCCAATCTTTAAACTGTAGTAGTTGGTGCTACCCAACAATTCCTATTCAATAATATTGGAGTACTAGAGCATTTCTAAATCTAAGCTAAGTATATATATTTTCATATTTCTTTCATTTTTGAAATCAATATTTAGTTTTCAATTTTTGAAAATAAAAAGCGAATTAGAAAGAGACATTGTAACGGAACTACACAAACTACACATCGAGGGATAGACCAGCTCAACCTCGCCCCTATTGAGACCAAACCTCTATTTTAATAATCCGCTCCAAGTCTCTAGCCCAAACGACTTTACTATCTTAGTTCTGCATCAAGACCCTAATCATATAATTACGAAGCGGATTTTCTTGATTTAAGATCATCAACAAAGGCTATTCTTTTGGATATATATTTTTTTATCGTTCTCCCTCTTTATATACAACTATTTTGAAACTCCATCTAAACAAATCTTTGAACATGTCACTTACTCTATGAGCGAATATAGCTGTATTATCCACCTAATTTGGCTTTTGAATGTGATGACTTTTCGTGAGACCTCTCAATTGCTAATTGGATTCGACATGTTACTAGTTTTTATAACCACATAGATGCTGACAAGATGACACCCCACCACAAACGTACAAACACATACAAATGCTTTCAAGCTCTCATTTTACCTAACTCAGTTGGGAGATTGTATATGGACATTTTGTCAGCCATTTCACGTTATGGTCTTACAGACCATGCATGCATGGTAGGATGCTTGTCTCGTTTTTGTAGAATTATCAGAGAGATGGGCCATATGGTCTACTTCCAACAACATCGATATTATCTCCAACTTGGTAATTATCACCTGCACAATCTGTCAGGTGTGGGGTTTTATCACAAAAGGCCTCGGTGTTAGTTAGGGGGGAGTTAGGATATTTAAACTATTACTTATCTTTTAGTATGGACGATGTGGGATTCAACACGCCCCCTCACGTGGGACCTAATTAGTGGGTCACACCACGTGGAGCTAAGGGGACTCACCCTACACGTGGGGCCAAGGGATCCACCATCATTGTGTGGGGCCAAGGGGGCCCACCCATCACGTGGTTGTACAATATGGTCTCGCTCCCTGGCTTTGATACCATGTAGAATTATTAGAGAGACGGGCCATACGGCCCACTTCCAATAATACCGATATTGTCCTCAACTTGATAATTATCATCTGCACAATCCGTCAGGTGTGAGGTTTTATCACAAAAAACCTCGATGTTAGTTAGAGTGGAGTTAGAATATTTAAATTATTACTTATCTTTTAGTATGTATGATGTGGGATTCAACAGTCTTGTCATCTAAAGCATTATCTCTATTCATTTCTCATGTGTTTTTATTTATCTAAGTGTTATTCGCATTTTATGATAACTCTCTTTCTAGTCTAAAAGAAATCCGAATTGATGCGAATACCTAAATAGCGAATTTGTACGTAGGACCACTTACAAAATTATTAGCCAAAATATATATACTTTTGTTTTTGTCAACGTAGAATGGGAGATATGAAAACTTATGGTACATCTGAAAAGAGAACTATCATTGAACTAAAAACTAGCTGGTTCGGAAGAACAATTGGCTCCGTGAGATATACACAAACAAGCACTAGTTCTGCGGAGTTTTAATGGAGGAGATATAAATAGAACAACAACAAGGCCTGCATATCTAAGGTGACGAGAATATTAGGTGAAATAAAAATAACTGACTACTGTTGGCACATGTAATTTAGTTTTTGAAATAAAAGATGTAACGAGCCATTGGAGTTTTATGTGTGGCATTGCTGATTAGACTAACCCACTTTAAGGGGAACAACTTCATTGAAGACTGAAAGCAAATGGGTCCTTTCCTTCTGATGATACCACCGCTTTTGTTATCCACAAAACATTCATGTTTCTTAGTCCTTGATATATAACAAAGGGTAGCCTCCACCGAACCCTGAATAAGAGATGGATCCATTCATGGGCCCGATTGCTTCCAGAACCGTTTGGAAGTTTAAAGAAGCGTCTGTGAGGACCTTCGAGGGCCATCCAACAATTTAAACAGGTGGTGGAAGATAGAAGATTATCATGGTTGTGCAGATGCTGTGCAATAGAAGCTTTGAATAAATAAGAAAGATCTACTATCAGACAGAGGAACACATAGAAGACTATCATAACTCTGCTGTTCTTTGACCTTGGTTCCAATGAAGAAGGACTTTCTCTCTCCTTTTCCCACTTGACCAACTCCCAATTATTCTTTTTCTCTTTTTAATTGGTGTCTAGTCAGGTTGTACTACCTAGTATTTTAATTAATAAAGGAATAATGTATTATTCAACAAATACGTAAACGTTTGACATTAAGTGATGACGTGACATAGATTGAACTTACATTTGAAGCACACATTAATTGCACCAATTAACCCCTTTGGTCATGAAAGTGTTAGTGTTGGTTTAAATGTGGGCAGTATATGTTACGTCATCACTTAATAGATCTAACTAGAGATTAAAATCAATGAAAGAATTAATTTGGTACAATCCAAAAATCACGTAGTATAATATACGAAATTTAAAACTTCATGACTCATCGTGCAAATGACTCTAAACCTTGCGGTA